CTTTCCCTGTCCCTCATCTGTAAAAGAGAAAACTTTTTTTCTTCACAGGTGTGCTGCAAGGATGGGGGCACGGGGCTGGGGGGTATACACAGTGCCTTGAGCATAAGACCATTCTCATGAACATCAAAGGCACTTTCAGTTAACTTAAATAACAGAGTAGATGTGTCAGAAACTATCCTAGGTCAAGAATGTTAATCATGCTTGGTTGTGATTTTTTTTTTTTTTTTTTTTTAGTGGGCACAGGTACTATTTGGAAAATCACTCCTCCTTACTTGCACTCCTTTTCCTCTTTTTTTTTTTCCTAGTGCATACTTCTGTAAATACATACAAGAGCAGCAGCCTTGAGTCTTCTTGCTGAAAGTGTGTCAATACATCACACAGTGGTTTTATTTGTTAGAAGGAAGACCTGTAGCTTTGTCAAATTAACAGTGTCAAGAAACTGAATTATAAAAACCTCAAGCTTAGTAACTTATCCCCTCACCTGCCAGCTCTCCTTCTAAATAACAGTGTAATTTCTGTGAGTGTGTAGCTGATACTATCACTGATACACACACCTCATGCATTGAGGTGTGTGGGCACTGCCCACTTAGCTGTGACAGCTGCTTACTCTTTGCTCAATAATCTCCTGAAAATCGCCTAAGCTGTGAAAAGGATTTGTTATGGTTTAACCCCAGCCAGCAACTGAGCACAATGCAGCTGCTTGTTTACTCCTCCTGATTGGGATGGGGGAGAGAATCAGAAGAGTAAAAGTGAGAAAACTCATGGGTTGAGATAAAGACAGTTTAATAGGTAAAGCAAAAGCTGTGCACACAAGTGAAGCAAAACAGGGAATTCATTCCCCACTTCCCATGGGCAGGCAGGTGCTCAGCCATCTCCAGGAAAGCAGGGCTCCATCACCCGTAATGGTTACTTTGGAAGACAAATGACATCACTCTGAATATGTCCCCCCACTTCCTTCTTCTTCCCCCAGCTGTATACACTGAGTATGACATCATATGGTATGGAATATCCTTTGGGTCACTGGGGTCAGCTGTCCTGGCTGTGTCCCCTCCCAACTCCTTGTGCCCCCCCAGCCTCCTCATGGGTGAGGTGAGGAGCAGAAAAGGCCTTGACTCTGGGTAAGCCCTGCTCAGCAGTAATGAAAACATCTCTGTTATTAACACTGTTTCCAGCACAAATCCAAAACATAGCCCCCTACTAGCTGCTACAAAGAAAATTAACTCTATCCCAGCCAAAACCAATATGGTTGTGCTTTGCAGCATTGCTGTGATATGTAAGAATTGGTCTTTAGATTGCCAGACTACTTTGAGTGCTTGATACTGTTGTCTACAGCAGAGATAAGAACTTAGTTTGTCTCGGTAGAGTTTGTAGTTAGATGCCTGTTAATCCTGTATAAACCGGTGATTTTCTGGAGAGGGAAGTCTCAACACAGGTTATGAATAATTTTTTCCATAGGATTCAATAGATGTGCAGTGGATGCACATTTTCTTCAGCTATGACATGCTGCTCAGATGGTCTACTCCAGCATTTCCCAAGTATCATAAATAAGATTAGAAGGCAGGACTGATACTTATATGATCTTTGAACGCTTTAGCTATTTTATTTTGATCTTTATTCCATCAGAATTACCTCTAGGAAGTGTTTTGCTCACTAGATCTGGAGCTGAAACTTCATAGAACTGTGTTTCCTCAGTCATTAGATTTCAGCGATACAGTTTTCTGGGACAACTGCCATTGTCATGAATTGTTCAACACCACCTTCATTTACTGTTCTTGATCTATTTGGATTTGTATTAAATTGATAATGTCTGTGTGGGATCTTTGCCTTGCCCAGGGTTGGACATGGACAGGTTACCCAGAGCGTTAGGTTTGGTATTTCTCCATTGTCAAGACTAACTCATAAAATGAGATTTGCTAGTGACCTGTTTATGAGAGTGCATCATACACATCAGAGGGCACTTATCTTATTGTGGTGTCTAGATACTTAAGTCTTAAAGTGGGAGTGACCAACTTAGGGTTCTTGATTCCCCTGTGGCTCTTTCATGTGTCATTCCCACTTGGGACTATGTCCTGTGACCGGCTTTGTGCTGGCACAGAGACAGCTGGATGGTCTGTATTGCTCACTGAGTTGCTGCAGTCTGCATACCTAGTCCAGCCAGGTGTAAACCTCTGTGGAGCTTGTATCCTCACTTCCCTGGGACTTTCTGGAGCTCCCTTTTCCCATGGCTCTCTGAGGTATCCAGATATATTGTGGCTCTCAACCATGCATGGATTGTCATATTTCATGTTTAAAGTCACGTAGCTTTGTCTATGTTGACCTAGGGAGAAGTTTTTCATGTGTCCAGCAGTTATGTCCATGAAAACTTGGGTATTCCTGGAACTGATAACATAGGAAACTAGTATCTTGAGTACCTTATCTGTGTCTCTCTGAACTTTCTCTTTAATTTCACGGTAAGTGTCTTTAGGGTTGTTGAAATCGACCTTAATTGCACTGTATGTGGAGCTGAAGTTGTGCCTGATACGTCTTCTCTTTCACTTGTGCTCTGTGTGCATTGGCACAGCTGCAGCTAAAGTTTGAGGTTTGGCGCTCTGTGCTGTGTAGTCGGAGGGCGGGAAAGATGATCACTGCTGGGGATGTGGCGTAAGCATGCAGCAGCCTTCGGAGACCAGGGGAAAGGGACCTGATTACTCAGCAGTGATTCTTTCACATTTATGGTATAGCTGACAGAGCCCTGTCAAGGCTGGTCTTCAGTTTGATCTCCAGGTGTGTGGTGACTTCCTGGGAGGAGGGATGTGCTGCTCTGCAGCAAAAAGTACTGAGGTAGCTCACTGCACTAGCTCTTACGCTTGATCCTTTAATTTTCCAGGGGGGGGAAATGAAACAGGAGTTTTAAAATTTGAGAACTCATCATGGAGGACTCAGAAGGACATCGCTTCAGCTCAGTGGAAGAGGAAACCAGATACTGGAAAGAGCTGGCTATGAAATACAAGCAGTGGTAAGGCAGTGGTTTCATTCCTCTAAGTTGTTCGTTAGGGTGCATAACACTGCATGCAAAGACATAGATAGCACCACATAGGAGAGTAAATTCAGGGCGGTTCAGTTATCTTGTGTGGTAGCTGTAGCAATGCTTCTGCATAAACTGCAGCAGCTCAGAGTCCTTTATGCTTAGTGAATCTGTGCTGCTGTGGCACTGCTGGTTTTGGTCCCTGCTCTGGTTTGAGTAGGACTGTGTGTGCCAAAATTGTGCCTCTGACTGCAGTCAGTGGGCAGCCCAGGCGAATGTAACTCACTGCAGAACTTTGTTGGGGGTGGATGATCTGGGCCATTGCAGAAGGAGGTGCTGTTGTTCACTCTTTATATCTCTATGTGGATCAAGAATGGTTTGTCAGTATGTAGATGGAGGAGGATCCCTGGCTGAGAATGGATATACTTTGCTCTTCTCTTTAGCTGAGTGTGTTGCTCTAAATGCAGTAAAGGGTGAAAAAAGTCCAAACTTTTTAGATGCTGATGTTTGTGGGGTCCCTTTCTTAGACCAGGTGTTCAGACATTTTGATGCTGCTTGTTTGGCTTGCTGCAGGATTATTTCAGTAGAATTCTTTAAGAATATAAGAACACCCTTCCTTCCATCTTTCTTTCTTTTTCTCGCTTTTTATTGCTAATTGAAAATGGCTTTGTTCATATTTCCAAATAAATAATTGAATAACAGATTAAATATGGAAATGGCAGTGGACAATGTACAAGCTAAAGGCACTCCACATGTCCTCAACACCTACAGTGTGAAGACAGACTTTGGGATTTTTCTATTTATTTGGGCTTTTTTATTTTTTTACCAGTTTGCTATGGAGTGGCTTTCCATGCTTGATGGGGAAACCATTGCATATGGTCCCCTTCTCCTGTTGAATATGTATGTTGGAAAAGGGCATAGCGTCTTCTGTGTTAAAGGGCAGTATTCTTTTTTTTTACCTTGAGTGTACGAGAGAGATTTTTTTGATTTGTTCATTATGATGAGTTCTGTTGCTGGAATTGCTTTCTAGTGCTGAGAATACACAGGAGGAATTGCGTGAATTCCAAGAAGGGAGTCGAGAGTATGAAGCTGAACTGGAGACTCAGCTGCAGCAAACAGAGTCCAGAAACAGAGACCTTCTGTCAGAAAACAATCATCTACGAATGGAACTGGAGTCACTTAAGGTAAGAGTGGATGATACCTACAGTATCCGTACATCCTAAGTGCAAACGTGAATGAGACAGGCACGTGCAGATTCAGCTTGCCTTTTGGACAGGGACCTTCAGCATTACAAAGAAATTGAACAGAAAACTGCAAAAAAGAGAGTCTTGAAAAGCTAAGAAATACCAACCTGTTGTCTGCCTTGAGGGTGCTGGATACCTTGGTAATGTTCCTGAACCCCTGTTTGCGGGTTGTGGCTATGTGTCAGAATAGATTTGAGATGGAAGAATATTATTTGCAGTAGAGTGGAGAGTAAACATGAACATAACAGAGCTGCTGTTCTGTTCCTTCTTCCATCTACTTAGTGCTTTTGTTCACAGCTTTCTTGCCGTCTGCATTGTGCAGACACAGATAGTATTGCAGAACAATCAAAATACAAATATTCCAGCTGTGTTCTTGCATTACATAAGAAAACTCAGTTTTAAACCCTTTTTACATGGTTGTGTATTGATTATCTGGCATTCTGGATAATCTGGGAAGGAGCAGCCAGTGGGTAACACATAGAACTGAGAGGCATAAAACAGTTTCAGTCCTGGTTTTGTAACTGAATCTATCTGTGCTTGGGGAAAAATAACTTACCCTCTTTACACTTGCTTAGCCTTCTGTGAAACGTAAGAACTAGCTGAAAAGCATTAACTTCCAGAATTATAAAACTAAGGGATATGAACTTACTGAGATGGAACTTCTTACCAAAGTGACTTAAGAAATAATGAAGCTTTCTAGAGTATGAAGAGTGATGAATCTGCCTCTTTTCAATCTCATTAAAGATGCTGCTAGTCTCCTGTGCCAGTTGACAGGTTTAGGAAATACTGCTAAGTTTTCTTCAATTTCAGTGGCAATTTTTTTCAAGTTTGTGTGCCTTTTTAAAATTTCATCTTGTTGGCCTTTTACTTAAAGATGAGGTATAGTCACACAAGAAACACTACACTGTGTTTTGTAGGGCTAGGTCAATATCTGTGGAGCAGAGATTAATTTAATTACTCTTCTACTCAATTGGATGCAATAATGAGCTAATGGGAGTGAAGGTATTTGTATAAGTGATTAATCACCAGATTAATCCAAGTTTGCAATGCCTTTTGTCTAAACTGTTTTCCAAATTACTGTCTTAAGGAAATACTCTTCTATTCCAGGTAGATGTCCTGTCCCTCTAGTACCAACTTAGTGATTTTCCACTGCCACCCCCCGGGTCCCAGCTTTTTGGTAGCAAAACCTCCAAGGCTTATTTCATTGAATTAGTTATGTTGCACTGATCTTTGTTGTATTAGCACCTTAGCAGTATTAAATCTTCTGCATGTTGTATGGAGTATTGGTCTACTGTTCCATGTAGCCACATAAACCCATGGAAGCTGATGGGTTCGGGGAGAAGGCATAAGTTTGACAAAAATAAAAAACCTGCAGCTCATTTCATTGAGGAGGGTGTGGACTATTTTCTTTCTCTAGAGGAGCTAGGATGAGAGTAGGGGACAATGAACCAGCCAAAGCAATTAAGAATGAAAATAGTAGGAAACAACATAGAACCTCAAAAAGTGGAGGGTAAACATATTTTAGAAAAATCTTAAATTATTCTTCACAGTAGATAAATTTATAAAAACATATTCTGTTTGAAACAAACCTTTTAACAATTGTCTATTCATGCAGCCTGAAAACTGCAGTAACAGCCTGCGGTGAAGGAACAGAGACTCCATTGATGGCCGGATCAGCTGATAGTTATTACAATTGGCTAAAAACAAAGACTCAAACCTTGCAGTTCTGGTCTTTTATCTGAATCAATTCAAGAGCAAAGCATTAAACTTGTGAAGCTATTGAGCAGCAGTGTTAACTGAGCCCATCAAGGGTTGGTGTCTGCATCTAGGTCAATGCTAGTGAACTTTTCCAGGAGCACACAGCTTGTGGCTTTGAGCTTATGAGCCTTTGCTTGCTTCCCCCTCAGAAACCAGAGTTCACACTACCTAAAAATAAATGGAAATAATGCTTTGGAGGGTTTGTTTAGAGAGTCCTGAATAGCTAGTTGAAAGTAATCTGCCTCTTAGAACTTGGGGGCTCTTAAATTCAGCATGTAACTGTGCTTTAGATATCCAGAATTATAGTGGTGTAACCACACTGTAATCAAATAAGAATTTCTTAATTCAGAATGGGTATCTTTCTCTCCTCTTTGTCTATGCATTTCATGTGCTAAAATAGCTGTCTTCAAATCATCAGTCATGCTAGACTACGTGCCATAGTTTCCAAATGCCAGTGCATGGATTTGTTTTCACTGACTTCAAGTGTGTTGTACTTAAATTCTGGGTGCAGAAAGTAATTCAGAAGTGCTACTTATACAGCAATCTTGGAGTTTCAAAAAAAATCTCTGGCACATTGAAGTGATCTGATAGCAAGGTGGTGGAGTGTAAAGTGTTGCAGTAGACGATGTGCTGTTAAGCTTTGTCTGTCACATGATGTGACGTTAGTTCCAGCTAACTCTGCATGTAGTAGCAATAGCGGGAGAGAGATATTTGATGGAGAAGCTAAGCCTGCCTGCCTGCCTGTACCTGTCTCAAATGTACTGTCATGTACATGCTGTAAAGGGAGACAGAGTTTGTTTTAGGTTCGCATCCAAAGCATGTTGCATAACTGCACCTGAAATATTTCATGACCTAGAACTCTGAACCTGCTTTGGGCTAATAATACCACAGAGGCAGTGGAGAATCCTGCTGGTTCCACAGCAGTATGTAACAGTGTCACACTTGGATATATTATTTTTCTTGTTATTTAGGCTCCTAAGTACTGCTTGACTTTTTATTAGAGTTGAAAATAAGTGACTTCTCTTTTATCCTGCTTTGCATGTTGCTAAAGCTCTTGGGGCTCAGAAATTATGCTGAGTCTTGTTGTCTGGGAGAGCAAGGAATGGACCTATTCCCAAGGTTGTGAACTGCTCCCCAGCACCATTGTTCAATAAGGAGTGACAGGAAGAACTCTTGTCTGCTGGCAGCCCTGAAGTATGTGAACAATTGACTTTGGCATTTTACCATATGTAAGGTGATGATGTTTCTCAGAAAACTTCACAGCCTCTGCCTTTAAAGGGGCTCAGTCAATGCCACGGAAAGAGGACGTGCTTTGCTAAGTCCCTGATAGGCTGTTTGATTTGCCTTTGATTAGGAAAAGATTGAAATGCAGCATTCAGAAGGATACAGACAAATCTCTGCGCTGGAAGATGACTTGGCACAGACAAAAGCTATTAAAGATCAACTTCAGAAATACATTCGAGAACTCGAGCAAGCAAATGATGACTTGGAAAGAGCAAAAAGGTGACTCACCTTCTATATTTTCTTTTTCCACCTCTGTTCTGTCCTGTGAGTATAGTGTCACTGAGCTGTTTGTGATGCTGTGCTCATTAGCACTGCCATTCTGAACTAATCACTTAAGTGATGATTGTGGTGAAGAGGTTTGTGGCAGATGGGAAATGAGGTAAATTTTTTCCCCCTTGTACTCCCCCCACTGTATTCTTTCATATCTTACAAGCTAAACTAAAAAAATAATAATAAAACAAAGCAAACCAAACAAATGCAATGTTATCCCTTTTCTTGTGAGAGAGGGAGTTCTTCTATGTGCTTGAAGGATCTGGTAGTGACATCTTGTACATTCTTTTTCAGAGCTACTATAATGTCTCTGGAGGATTTTGAACAGCGTTTAAACCAGGCTATTGAAAGAAATGCTTTTCTGGAGAGTGAGCTGGATGAGAAAGAAAACCTTCTGGAGTCTGTGCAGCGCCTGAAAGATGAAGCTAGAGGTTAGACGGGAATTACTTGTATCTTTCCCTATCTCCTCTCCTGGCTTGTAGCTGTTCAGTCCTCTCCATATATCTTAAGAGCTTGGCTTTTAAGTTTACATCTTTCAAATCTGCTATCTGAAATATAGAAGCAAAGCAGGAAGCTTCAAGACTGTTCCCCCCTCCTTGAACTCCTGACCTTGTTCCAGAGCAGGTCACAGAAGCAAAAGTCTGTTCCAGCCTTCTCCTAATCTGTGGTGATGCTTCAGGGCCTTAGGGGGTTAAGAAGAGCCAGTCCAGCTGGGGCATGTGCTGGTCTGGCTTCCTGTAACCTGTGAAGGTCAGCTTTAATAACCATTAACCTCATTGTTTCATGGCCTGTGAAAAGTTGAGCCAATGAACTGCTAATGGGGCAATAAAACAGGAGCTGTGACTGACTTCTAGTTATCTTTGAATAGCCTCATGTGCTAGCTTCTTGATGTCTGTCAATAAGGCAGGGTGAGAGGAGAGAGACCATGGAGCTGAAAAAACACCTCTCTTCTCAGTTCTGCTCAGATTCTGTCGCTTGAGTGGTTTCCATAAGCTACAGCCAGGCTATGGGACAGAAGTGCTCTATCCCTTGGCTGGGTAATGGTGTGGCTTCCACCTGGCCTCAGCTCATGTTTCCTTCATGTGGGAACCAGAGTAGAAGAGAAAAGGATACAATACATAGGATCTCGACCTGGCAGGGAGCTGGATTGTAGCCAAGGTGTGCCAAGTTGCCTAGCCTCAGTCTTGATATGCCTCTGCTTACCAGCCTGTAACATTTGGAGAGAAGTTAATTCCCTGCCTCAAAGGGAGCCTTGTGAAAGAGTATGAAAATTAAAGCCGGGTAATAGCAACTGAACTAGTACTACAAAAACATCTTGAGCCACAATCCTAGAAAAGCCTTTAGTGATCATCCAGATTTTAAACATATGCCTGGAGTAATCTTTACAAGGATAAGTGACTTTACTTCACGAGGGGAACGATCTTTAGAGCAAAACATTCTCACATGTTTTTATCTTGGTGGATACATACTCCAAAGGCTTGCTTTGTGTTGCTTCCTTCGTAGATCTACGACAAGAGCTTGCAGTGCAGCAGAAGCAGGAGAAGCCCAAAACACCGATGCGAACTACCCTGGAAACAGAAAGAACAGACACTGCGGTTCAAGCGTCCTTATCTGTGCCTTCAACTCCCTCAGTGCACCGGCCATCCAACATCAACGTACCCACCCCTGGAACATTTAGGAGAGGTGACTGACAGAGAATCAGCACAGAAATACTATTTGATGCTCTTGTTTTCACTATAGTTTCTGGCTAAAGGAGGAATGAGAAGAAGGGAAAAGAGTTGAGTGTTTCAGTTGAATACACCTAAATCCAGTCACTATGGTCTCAGTATTCGCAGACTGTGATTTTGGGGTTTATTCATAGGCTGTTCATTTCCACTTGACTTCAACTGTCCAGTAATAATTGTGAGGGACAAGATGATCTGTTGGGACTTTACTATTAGTTCACAATTGTCCCAGAGATGTTGGACTGACTTAGGGGAAGGATTTAAAAAACTTCAATGTGATCTTTAATGTCACACTTGGTTTACTTGAATTGGGTTCTCTGCGAGAGTATGTGCTCTTTGAGAGGGGCTTTCTTTTTACTCTGGAACAACAGGACACTGACAAGTCATCCTAGCTGTTTGTACTAAATGACTATCTCTACTTTCATGTCAATAATATCAGTTACTTATTTTTTTGTAAGCACTGATTACTTCAATATTTTAAACCTCTAATACTAACTCTCCCATATTCTTACTTAAAAAGCCAGAAATTTGTGTAACTGTTAATGTCTATGCATAAATGCAGGGAGTTGGACTGTCATGTTCTGATGATTTGATATTATAGCTCTGAGCACTAACAAATTTTGTGGACTTCACTATGCTTAACCTAAAATTATGTGCTTTGTGTGGAGAGGAGTGTGTGAGAGGATTTGGAGACTTGTAGTAAAATGAGAGATGATGGTCCTCTATGAGGTCACATCCCTATGGTCCCACTGCAGCAACAGAGATGCAGAGTAGGCTGGTAGGACAGATCTCTAGAAACCCAAGCCACAGCATGTCTACAGACTTTAGCTTAGGACAGTGTAACTTGAGCTGTCTCAGGGAAACAGTGCTTCACATTCCTAACGGATATGAAAGATCTGGAGGTGAGATACAAAAAGGTGAAGATATTGATGTTTCTTGTGCTGTGTATGTCAGGCTGTCTTCGAACTTCCAGTGTCAAAGATCTATTTTTTTAAAATTTTTTTTAAAAAAGAATAATGTATCCTTCTTTAACCTGCCCTGCAGGTCTTGAGGACAGTTACAGTGCAACCCCTCTTACACCTGCTGCAAGAATATCTGCACTTAACATCGTGGGAGACTTGCTGCGAAAAGTGGGGGTAAGTGATTACCTGCTAGCCATTGCTCTTGGAAAGGTAGAGCTGTCTGAAACTGCAGCCAGTGCTATTTGTGCTGCTGCTGCTCTGGGGGGCCTGGAAAGAGTATCTTGCCCCCGGGTTAGCTAAGCGTGACCTTGACATTTGGTCTGGACTTTGTATATTTCTGACCAGCCCCCAAATAAAGATGCACCCTGCTCTGCTTTTCTAAGATCTTATCCACATGGCGATAAGATCTTCCTCTACAAATTTGGGAAAGCATATGTGCAGAAAGGATAAATTGGCATGTGTAAATTAAGAAAGGATGCTTCCATGAAAGGCAGAGAAGAAATCAGGCTGGTGCCAGCTGTCCAGAGGGCTTCTGGTGGAGTTTGCTTTAAGAGTCCAGTAGCCTTTTGAGCAAGGCCTAATGTCATGTTAAGCTGTAGTTTGACATTTAAGGTAGTGCTGATGCTGGAAAAGTTGTCCCATGACTTCCTTCTGTTTTCTCCCTTATGCCCCCTAGTGCTGTGTTGGCACAAGCATTTGTATGACTTTTTGATGGGCTGAGCTGCTGAACTGATACAGCTGAAGAGCAACCCAGCAGCAAACGTGGAGTGGTCTAGGATGGGAGCATGTGGTGAAGAATAGGTATCTGTTATTCAGTTCCCTCTCATGTACCACCTAGTACATACAACCTAATACGTGTCTAGGGAGGCAGATGGCTCAAATGAACATTTAGTAATCTAAAGTGATGCCTGTAAGAAAGATGTCAAAATCTCCATGAGGAAGCTGAAAATTTTGTTCCTCCTGGTAAACAGCATCAAATCCTTAACCTCTCCTACAGAAACAGAGATTCAGCTTTAGAGAGATGACTGGCTTCATCTCTTCAGAAATTCAGAACTAATGTGACACTGGGGTCTAGCAGGTTCCTCTACTACAACTCATTCTAAAAGAAACAAACCCGAACAGTCTTAACCGTTCTAGTGTGCCACAATGCCGTCTGGTGAAAGAGAAGGGTGATACTGACACTTGCTGCATCTGTGTTTACATTAGGCTTTGGAGTCCAAACTTGCATCTTGCCGAAACTTTGTGTATGACCAGTCTCCAAGCAGAACCACAGTGTCCATGTACATGAACAGAGATGTCCTTGAAACACGCCTGAGTCCTCATCAGCCTCTGTGTGATACAGGGTGAGTGCTATTCTTTGCTGTTGGGTCTTAGTGAGAACTGTTGGTGTTAGAACTTAGTGACTGGTACTGTTCTATTTAGTATTAAATCTTTGTTTTGGTAGAGACATGCTTGTTTTCAAACTATATGAAATGTAGTTATTCAGGATTATGATTTGAATGTTTTGGATCAGTTTAAAATTTGGGATCAGTAGCTGCTGAAATTCGAAGGCTAGTTGTAGTCGAGTTTTGAAAACCACAAATTCAAAGCAAATGTAATACATGTATTTTATTATAAACCCAGTGTTTAAATGGGATGAAGTACAGCAGAGGAGCTCTTGCTTATTGGCTCAATTTGTTTTATGCTTTATATTCTTGTACAAGTGGTGTCTCGGGAACATTATGGCATGTGGGGACTGCCATTATCACAGTTAAGATTCTCATTTGTGGGAGAACTGGAAAAAAAGGCAAGTAACGGATTCACTCAATCAGAATGCTTTATGGTTCTAAGACGTATTTCCAAGGAGCAGCTGACAAGAAGTTACCTGCCTCAACTTATAAATTTGTCTGAACACTTGAACTGGTTGTCTTTTTTTAAACAAATGAAGAAAAACCAGCAAGGTTATTACAAATTGCAGTTCAGTGTCTGCTTAAACCTTGCCAATCCTGTACTGCACATTCTTTAGATTCTCTGTAAATTCAGTGCCTATAGTACAGTTTGTTCCTGGCTTAATTATTCAGCTAGAGCCTTGTGCTGGAAATACTGGTTTGTCCTGTTAGCCAGTGCCCAAAGTTGTGTGGAAGGAGTGCTGCACATTGTACTTGCTATCCCAGCCTGGGGAGAAACCTTACGAAAGCTCCTACAAGAAAGCCTCAAGGGCCATACATTTACATATTTGTGCAGCTGATTATACATCTACTGCTGTAACGCTAGAACTGAAATTCCAGCACGTGTAAAAGATAGCTTCTCACTACTCAGAGGGAAACAGCCCTGTGTTACAGTGGAAACTCATCCCAGTTAAGTAATGGGCTTACATAGTCTCAGAGTGGTATTCTTTTATCTGTCGATTTCTCAAGCTGAGTGGTGTATTCTGGAAGTGATGAGTTACTCTGAAGGTGGTAAAACTGAGCAAGAAATGCACTAAATTCTATTTTGTATTTGCAGGTTAGTGAAACGCCTGGATTTTGGAACACGGCCTTCAAATATTCTGGGACCAATGAGCCATCCCTCGCAAAGTGTTGTCAAGATGCTACTTTGAAAAGCCTTGTCTGGCTTTGGAAAAGGAAAAAAAGTATTTTAAACTTTAGTTTTAAAGGGAATATCAAGGAGCAGTCAGGCAACAGTCTTGGGATAGGTGAGAACTGAACAAGAAGGCAACGGGGAATGGCCTCCTCTGGCCTTGCCCAGCCTGGTCTCTTGGCCAAGTTCTGTGGGTACTGTGATAAAGCAGTGCTGCTGAGCACTGCAGGCCTTAGAATTGCTTCTTACATCAGTTGCTGTAAGTAGCTCTTTGAAAGTTGCTTCTTTTGACATGCCAGACAAAGCCATTGTCCCTCTACCTACAACAGGGACAGATTTGCCTATGCAGCTCCTCAGGCTTTGGCTTTTGGTGTTAATACAGCACCATGGTGTTCTGGCTTAAATTCTGGTTGTGCTGGCTTTCTCTCATGGGTGTTGTGTGCTGCAGTCACCCAAATTAGAGGAATGTTTTTATGTGGAGAAAGGTGTATTTCTGTGGGGAAGCTGCTCAGCTCTTTGGGGGGGGTGTTTGCTGGTCAAAATCTTGCTACACAGAAACCTCCCTCTGTAGTGGTATTTTGTAAGCAATGATTTGCCATTGAGAACAGTTCATGGTTGAAGGTGAGGAATGTGTAGTGCTTAAAGAACTTGGGAGATCCCAGAGCTAATAGCAAGGTAGGAGACTTTGGACTGGCTTGGCATATAGACATCTTTTTTTGCTATATTGTGGCCCATAAAGCCTGGCTGTTGTAGGAAGCAAGAGACCTGATTAAGTTCCTAGTTCTAACATCTTAATAGGTGGGTTTTACTGCTTTCCAAACCTCCCTTTATTAATGTGCCTTGGGTATTACTGAATTTTTTCTTGTTTTTTGTTTTCTATGCGAATATATGCTTTCATCTGTTACTAATGTAGAAATGTTTGGTTTTTTTAACCTGAAAAGTCCTTTATGCTGGAAAAATGTATATGAATAGAGAATTACTTTTAAATCAGTTTTTTTTCCCCTACAGAATATTACTGCATTTTTGGTTTATTTTTTTAAATGGAGTAGGTTCACTCACAGTGTTAATGTATGTTACGGAAGCACTTGCAAAAATAATCACGACTAAACAATTTTTATGTTTTTTTTTGCAGGAGGTGAGGTAGGGAGAGCTGACTTGACAAAAGTGCATAAATGTTTTGTGTGGTATTTTTGTGTGTGTTTGTTTTTTTTAAGAAAATGCAGTGAAAACAGCCACTGATGCATCTATTTCTTTGGAATAGGAAATAACCACAAATTATTCCCATTATTCAGGCCATCTACAAAGTTGGCTTAACTGGGGAGCAGAATAAAGCTTATTTTGAATGCTCGTTGTTGATTCATTTTGAATTTCTTTGCAAGTTGTCACTGCGGTTTATGCATAGATGTTTCCTACCGGTTTCTCATCTGTTTCTGATCAATGAAGCTGAAAGAGACATTGTTTGTTTTGTTGAATCATATGGAAAGATTTTCCTACATCTCTCTCTTCTCATGGTTTCCTACCCTAAGGAATGTAAATATTGCCATAGCTAAAGATGCCTCTGGGATTTGCAGTGCTTAGTATTGGCATTGCGCTCTCTTAAAATCTTGAACTCTGGCTGTTTTAACATGACATTTGTCCTCTCACACAGGAAGTTGACACTCTCTTCTTACCCATGAAGAGCAGAAGCACATGGGCTATTCTGTTAGTTGTGCTGACACATGGACTATGGTTCAGTGGACAGTGTAGCCTGGAGGGATCAGTCAAGACAAGTTGTATTTTCCTTGTCTTGCCAGAATTTGCCTACTTGATGAACAAGTTGGCTTGCAGTCAGATTGAGACACAGCATTGAGATAAGGCAGAAAGTTGGAAAATTGTGGCTGTGCTGGTATCATATCTTACAGATATATTATTAATGTGACTACAGATACAATCAGACTAGGGGTGGTTATGCTATTGAGAATTGTCCAAATAATTTAGTCCAGAACAGTCACCTCTGTAATGGCACAGAGAGAAACTTTAATTTGGCTACTGTTGCGGAAGGATGCTTTCTGTGGTGTTACTAAAGAAACTCTGACTCCGTATTTAGTCACAAGCTTTGCAGAACAGGGACTGGAGCCTGAGTTTCTCATGTGACAGGGCAGTGCTCAAACCATTGGACCAACCCCTACCATTATGCATGTGAGTTTTCTAGATGAACTCCTTTTAGAAGCGCTCCATGTTCAGTTTGCTGGTTCTGCTCCAAGTATTGGTGGTTAAGACCATTCTACATGAAGTCTGACTTCCTTGGTCTCCTTGTTCCCACACATGCCAGCTCGCAAGCTGTGTGTTTAACAGCCAGCTCAGTGAGCGTGTGTACAGATCAAGCTGATGTGATCAGATGTGGCTGACCAAGAAATGAAGAGGTCTTATCTGATAGCACCTAACTCCCCTCCCCTGCAGCTTGTCATCGTAATTGCTCTAAATGGATTCTTATTTAAACTCTTCCTTTACTCTTTCATGAGCAGAGAGAATTCTTTGGGCTCTGATTCTGCTGGCTAAATGGTGCCTAGTCTGAATCTCCAGTTCGTGATCTCTGTTCCTTCTGCAACAATGCTTAGATGTAGAAGATGATTGCATTAGCTGTCAGGGTGGATTTTTTGCATGATTTGCTCTCCCTGTAGGCACACTGCGTAAGGTTCACTTGCTGTATAATCTAGGACACCGAGTAAGCTCTCTCCACTCGATTTAGAGTAATTCTACACCTGGCTTTGTTGTGCATGCCTCTCTGCTGCCTCAGTGTGACCACAAAGCTAGCTGCTATCTGAAAGGACTAGAACTGCATGGATTTGTGGTAGGTCCTGGTAGTTCCTAGGAGTGAGCTGCGGTCCTGTTGGTGTGCTCCAAAAAGAAAAAGTAGCTGTGTGCTGATCCCTTAATGTAGAATAGCTTGGCTTGGATCACTGCACTCAGTATGGGCTGCTGTTTCTAATTGTTTTCAGCCTGCTTTAGGGGCTTTAGTTGGAAATATCCCTATGCATACAGACTTCAAGGGTGGGTTCAGTTGCCTCAAGACAGACACTTAGGGCCCTTCCTGCTTTCCAGCTGCTGCACCAGAATGCTGCAAGTCTCCTGCAGGTCTTGTGTCGTGTCTGTCAGCCCTTGGATACGTTCTAGGGCCACCTCAGTTAGCACAGTGTGTCCATGAGGTAATCAAACCTGTCCCAAGTACTTTGTGTCATTTTACATTCAACTCAGTGTACATACTTCTTTTTATTCCTTCAAAAGCAATTGCTTCAGAGAAAATCAGGTTTTTGTTTTAATGATTACAGATGACCTTTTTTAAAAAGTAGTTGCATTGTATAGAAGCTCTACTGCATCCCCCATTCCCTTCCAGCATGCTGTGTTGCACCTAAGTGACACCTGTACACAAGAATACTGGATTAGTTTTTGTAGCCTTTTATTAGTGTGTAAGCACATCCATGGTGCATAAAAACTGTAACAGTTGACTTTAATTTGAACAAATGATACTTTATTTTTCAGTAAGTGATTAAAAAGGCACTTCCACATTGTGAATGGTGCATTGGGGTGTAGTAACCAGGAAAAAACCCTATATTAATTGAATATTCAAGACAAAATGAAAGTTTAAGAAAAGATTAACTGACCAATGCCTTTTTTTTTCCTGCAACAGTCTCACAAATCCTGTGTAAACTATAGTTCACTGGGACTTAAATCATCTGAGCTACTAGAACTCGCTTTCTGGAAGATTCTCAAAGTGAATTACTCTGAGTGTTAGAAAAACCCTACTTTTTCCAAATACACTTCATGGTAAAATAAGCTTTGGAGTACTTTTAATGTCAGTCTATACATTGGAGACAAGGCAGTTGTGCTTTTATCGTTGTCAGAGGAGTGGGTGTATGTGACCTTGACACTAGGAGTAGACTTATACAGTGCTAAATATCGTCCTCCCTCCCCTTGCTGCAGTGCAATTTTTTAAGCGTGTTTATTCACTGGCTTTTGTTCCATTGAAATCTCCATCTCTTGCATCCATTTCTTCATCAGCTGCTTCTGTTGCATTCTCAATTACTCTTCTACCTCCAGATCTACGTGGTGGGACAAAAGATGCTGGCTCATTTCCCCTCCTGCAGTAAGAGGGGAGAAAAAAAAAAAAATCAGGCGTTAGGTCATTTGCAGTCCTTGCAAATAAGCATAGACTTTTATAACAGTGCCTGTGGGGCTGATGTTTCTAAATGCAGAGCAGCCAAGAACTGTGGGCCTCTAATACGACTTTCTGTTCTGTAGCATGTAAGAGTAATTTGTGGTCAGATGGAGACTCTCAGTTGCTTGGTACGATGATGGGATTCCTGTTCTTGTGCTTAAAGTTGTGCTCTAAATAGTCTCATCTGCCCCAACGCCCCGCCTACTCTTCTCTTGATTTCACTGTTTTCCCCTATGGGGACTGAGACTGGTTGTGCTTGGAAGGATTGGGACAGGGGGCTGCTGGTACCCACAGCAGCAGGGGGGTGTCCTTCCTGTCCTTTTAGAAGAGCGAGGAGAGAGCGAGTGCGCTGGTACTGAATTTCTGACCTGCAGTCTGAGTAAGCCCACCAGTTACTGAAGGCCCATGGTACCAGAGCAGTGCTGGGGATGTCAGCAGGCACTTTTGAGCCCACAGCCCCTCTCCGCAAAGGCTGCATTGGTCAGAGCACCACAGGCGCTTTGACACGTATGGCATCCTAGGTTGTGAGTAGCTCCAGTTTCTTTCCCAATGGAGAGAGAAAACCATCGCTGCTTTAGAACTGTGTTGTTACTCAGGTGCTGACATGTAACAGTGCAAGTACCTTCCAGAAGAGCTTACAGAAGATGCTTTTTCCCGTCTTACCCCTTTTCCTCTCCCATTTCCCTCCCATTCCCATATATTTCACAGCCACAGCCCAAGGCAGGGACACTTTGGTCCTCAAGGTTAATTTTTTGGGGAGGTGTGAGCAAGTGAGACAGAAGATGGATTTGTCTCTTCTTGGCCTCCGTTGCTACTGTGCTACA